AGGATTGGGGAGTAGGTGAGTGTGTGTGGTAGGTGAGTTGAGTGGAGGTGGTAGGTGAAGTGGGTGCTAGTGGAGATGGTAGGTTGGTAAATTCTAACAGCCCCCCGCAAACTCAAGGAGGATAGGAACTAACCAACTTGAGTTTGGAGAGAGTTTACAAAACAAGAAAATACATAAAAATAAAAAAAGATAGGGGACACTGTATGGTCGTGTCAGACCGTTGGTGAAGACTCTGAAAGGTGGTGCCATAACGTGGTAGAGGACACTGGATGGTGGTGTCATAACGTTGTAGAGGACACTGTATGGGGGTGTCATAACGGTGTAGAGGACATTGTATGGTTGTGTCATAACGGGGTAGAGGACACTGGATGCTAACCGGAATCAAAGTCGGGACAGTTTATAGGGTCATGTCGGACCGTTGTAGAAGACAGTTTATGGAGTCTTGCTGGACCCTTGTAGAAACTAACCGGAATCAATGTCGGGACAGTTTACAGAGTCTTGTCGGACCCATAAAGGAGCTAACCGGAATCAATGTCGGGACAGTTTACAGAGTCTTGTCGGACCCATAAAGGAGCTAACCGGAATCAATGTCGGGACAGTTTACAGAGTCTTGTCGGACCCATAAAGGAGCTAACCGGAATCAATGTCGGGACAGTTTACAGAGTCTTGTCGGACCCATAAAGGAGCTAACCGGAATCAATGTCGGGACAGTTTACAGAGTCTTGTCGGACCCATAAAGGAGCTAACCGGAATCAATGTCGGGACAGTTTACAGAGTCTTGTCGGACCCATAAAGGAGCTAACCGGAATCAATGTCGGGACAGTTTACAGAGTCTTGTCGGACCCATAAAGGAGCTAACCGGAATCAATGTCGGGACAGTTTACAGAGTCTTGTCGGACCCATAAAGGAGCTAACCGGAATCAATGTCGGGACAGTTTACAGAGTCTTGTCGGACCCATAAAGGAGCTAACCGGAATCAATGTCGGGACAGTTTACAGAGTCTTGTCGGACCCATAAAGGAGCTAACCGGAATCAATGTCGGGACAGTTTACAGAGTCTTGTCGGACCCATAAAGGAGCTAACCGGAATCAATGTCGGGACAGTTTACAGAGTCTTGTCGGACCCATAAAGGAGCTAACCGGAATCAATGTCGGGACAGTTTACAGAGTCTTGTCGGACCCATAAAGGAGCTAACCGGAATCAATGTCGGGACAGTTTACAGAGTCTTGTCGGACCCATAAAGGAGCTAACCGGAATCAATGTCGGGACAGTTTACAGAGTCTTGTCGGACCCATAAAGGAGCTAACCGGAATCAATGTCGGGACAGTTTACAGAGTCTTGTCGGACCCATAAAGGAGCTAACCGGAATCAATGTCGGGACAGTTTACAGAGTCTTGTCGGACCCATAAAGGAGCTAACCGGAATCAATGTCGGGACAGTTTACAGAGTCTTGTCGGACCCATAAAGGAGCTAACCGGAATCAATGTCGGGACAGTTTACAGAGTCTTGTCGGACCCGGATGCAATGATGGTGGGGGGACAAAAAGAGAGAGGGTTGGTTGTAAAGATACTGAAACGTGGGTACCATTCCCAATTCCACCCATCTTTGACGGTGCACTGTATGGAGTTAATTGAGTCCTCTCCTGGTTCCGAAGGAGTTAATTGAGGTGGCTCGTACCAGCTACTTTTGAACCTGTACTGTATGCAAATGATTGCTTACATTGCTTACAGCATGATCTATATGATCCATGATCTATATGATCAAAGGGAGACGCTGCAGCTCCGGTCCAGCTGGTACTTGATACCGTTGCTGCCGACAACGATGCCAGGAGTGGGGTTGCCGAAGACGATGTTGGCTGAGACGGTGGCGTCTTGGAGGACGAAGGGGGGTTTCTTGGGCTGGAGGATGGCCCATATTAGGAGGACGAATATTTGGATGATGAAGATCAAGAGGAGGAGTCCACCGAAAAAAAACGCCGGAGCCTCGTCCTGAAGTAACGATGACGATGACTACGAGAGTGAAGTAACAGACATGTCGGGGTTGGTGTGTAAGATGAGGAAAGGGGTTGAAGAGTCTGTCATGAAGAACAATAATTTGTCGACCAAGGCAACACCACAGGCGAAGAAGGAATATGAAATGGAGAAGTATTGCCATAGCAGCTGGTGTTGATTTTCTGGGGGGGAGGACGGTCTGAAGCACCCAGAGTCCCTGAAGGCAGAGGGAAACCCCAAGGGCGAGGTCGGCGACGAAGAGCCTGGGGTGGCAGGAGGAGGATGTGTTGCTCATCGAAGATGTACTAGTGCTAGTGGATAAACGCAACCAGTAGAGGTCCGGCGGGCGGCCAAGGCGAGGCTGCCGCCCGCCGGTGAAGCAGAATTATTAGCTTCTCAACCTTGCTCTGATACCATGTAAGAATTTATGTAATTTATGTATTATTGATTTATTGATTGATTGTTTGTTGTGTATATTACAGATGGTGAGGTACTAATTATATAGGATTGGGGAGTAGGTGAGTGTGTGTGGTAGGTGAGTTGAGTGGAGGTGGTAGGTGATGATATATTTTAACATATTGAAAAAAGAATCAGGTGGATGGGTCACTAGTTTAGCTGTAAAGTTGAATCGAATTGAACTGTAACGTCATAATTATGTTATAAATATTTTTTTATAAATTATAAATTAATAATATGGATATTAAAATTTTAATTTTTTTAAAAAATTCTTAAATATTTTTAGTGATATTTTTCTATATTTAAAAAATAAATTCCTAAATATAAGTCATAAACACTTCACATAACCACAAATAAAATTAAAGATGAAATAGAGTTGTACACATAATATATATATCGAGCCCAACCCTCTCTCTGTACATATAATATATATTGAGTTCAACCTCTCTCTGTGCATAATACATATAATATATATATTTTGGAAACCCTTTCAAACCAAATCAAAGATCACTATGACTATGATACATGCAGCGGTGCTACAAATTACGGAAAAGTAATACCTTGAGGTTGAGATTCTTTGGCAGCAACTTTGGTGATGAAGTGTGTAAAGTTTAGATTGGTTAATGGTGTGTGGCGATGATGATTGACAACTGCTAAAGAGAGAAATAAAGCTATCGAGAGAGATAGAGTTGTCGACCGAAACGAAAAATCCCTAGATCGAGATACAGAAACGAAAAAGCAAAGAAAGATCTGATTTTTTATTTATTTATATATATATCACAATCAAACCGTTCCGGTTTAATTGACCCGCAATTGGGTCGACCGGTTCAACAGTTTAAAACCACCGATTTTTGTAATTGAACGAGTTAAAGGGGTCAACTGGACCGGAACCTCAACGGGTCATCGGTTCAACTGATCAACCCAGTTCGGATTTCTTTAGATCATGAAATCGTTTTATAATCTTTTCTTATACTCTCTTTAGTTTGTCGGTTATAATCCACGAGAAAGGATCCCCTCATTGAATTTTCTCATTGACTTTCTACTTGATGGGTTATTAGGTCTATTTTTTGATTCAATTTCGATGATCCGAACTGTTCACATTTTAGAATTTGTCATGTACATCATACCTGTAAAAAATCAAATTAATCGAATATCAGAAGAGTTAAAAGCCGTTTATTAAAAAAATTTAATAAACAGTTTTATTGTTTAATAAAACTTTTAGTTCATATGGTTTTTGATAAGTATGATATACATGACAAATTTTAAAATGTGAACGGTTCGGATCATCAAAATTGAACCCAAAAGTCGGCCCAATGAGCCATCAAGTAGGAAGTTAAGTAGGAGATTCAAAGAGAGAATCCTTGCTCATAATTCACATATGGATTTTGATTGCCGCCTACCCCCCCTCTCTCTCTCTCTCACATACACACACACACACTTAGGCCTCGTTTGGCACGTGCCCCTTTTAGCCAAAAAGTCAAAAAGTTATTAAAAAAATCAAAAAACCAACAACCCATACCAAAAAGTCAAAGATTCCATTTTCTCTCTACTTTTTGCACATCTTTTCGTAAAAAGCTAAAAAGTCGTCCCAAACATACTAGTTTTTTTTACATCACATTTTAGCCAAAAAATAAAAAAATTACTAAAAAAGCCTGTTCCCAAACGAGGCCTTATACTCTCTTTAGTTTGTCAGTTATAATCCACATATGGATTTTGATTGCCGCCTGCTCTCTCTCTCGCACACACACATACATTTTTAAGGAAGCAACTTGCCTCTAGCTCTTAATCGGACTGGACGGTGTTGTTCGGCCTGTGGGGGTCTACTACAGGTCCTATTTTGATAATTCGAACCGTTCAATGTGTAGAACTCGTCGAGTACTATATGCTTCACGTTGATCGGATATTGATAGCTATTTCATCTTATCAGTTTTTTTGTAAACCGTTAATTTGTTCACCATCCATTTTTTTTAATACAAAACTGATTTGATCACATTGCTATCGATATCCGATCAATGTGATTTTTTACAAATATATAGTACTCGACGAGTTCTACACATTAACGGTTTGGATTATCAAAACGAGACCCGTAGTGGGCCTCCACGGGCCGAATAGTACCGTCTAGTCCGATTTTTAATTTTTTTTTCTCCCTCCATGATTGTGATTTGTAAACTTGCAATGATTCATATTAAAGTATTGTCAATTTGGGGTGTTCAAGCTCAAACAAACGTGTGGTTCATATGTTAGGGCTTTTGTCTCTATGCAGTTTATTTTACATCTAAATTCTAATGCTTCTTCGGCTGCTGATGTGTTTTTGTACAAGTAGTTGTAAGCGTCTCTGTCCGGCAAAGCAATTTCATGTATGAATAATACACAGCTTGTGTTTGTTTATGATTGTAGGGAACCAATATGCAGGGCCATCTCTCACCTAATTCTATTTATATATATATATATATTTAACAATCAACTTACGTTAGTCTTCAATGCTTTATTTATTTATTATTTATTTTATTATTTTTAAGATTTTAAAATGTTTGAAGGATCGTCGCACTTGGAATTAGTCCTCTCTAATTGGACGGAAGACGGCATATGTGCCCTTCCTTCTTTCACCAAAATTTACTTCTCTTGACTCCCGGCCTTTGTTTTGTTGAGTTGGCTGCGTTGCTGGATACTTTTTCTTCTCGGCTTTGAATCCCCCTATTGTTGTTATGTTGGTCTTTCCTTGTCCAAAAAAGGATCAGTTGGCTATTAGTTTTGTTGTCAAATTTCAGTTCAGTTTTTCATTGCCTGAGAAGCATTGACTTGCGGCTGTTACAATTCAACTCCATTTAAATGTAACCTTGAGCTCATCTTGGTGCTTTGCTTTGAATTCTTAAATGATAACCTTTGTGTTTTTCTCTTGCCTCTTGCTTTATACCTTCAAATTATTACTTCTTGCACTAGTACCAAGAATCTTTGAGGAAGCTACCTTCACTGTCAATCTTTTCTCCGATTCTTAACTTTGATTTTTTTTTTTCATGCACTTAATTAATTAGTGGTTTGTATGAAAGTAGCTTCCTATGCTTTTGTTTGTGTTTCCTTCCGTACGTAGTTGAACTTAATACCCTATGTTGTAACTTGTAAGAGAGATGCTAGTACTGCCTCTGCTACGCCTTCTTCCTTATAACTATGAACTATTTAAATTAATCCATGTGCTTTCTCTAGTAATCCCCTTATACTGTGTTTGGTTGGGGGATTTGGAGAGGGATTTAAAAAGGGAAAGGGAAATGGCGTGTGAAACTATGTGAAATATAGGCATGATTTATTCACATTTCACCTACCTTTTCCATTTCCCTTTCCAAATTCCTTCCCAAATCCCCTAACCAAACACATCATTAATGATTGTTTGATTGGGGAATTTGAAGAGGGATTCGAAAAGGAAAAAAGTGTGAGACTAGGTGAAATGTAGGTATATTTTATTCATATTTCACCTATGTTTTTTCTTTCCAAATCTATCCTCAAATTTCCCAACCAAATACAACATATAAAAGTTATAAAAGCTTCACACAAATTGTACCGCCTCTAATGTTGTGTTTAATTGGGGGATTTGATGATGGATTTAGAAAAGAAAATAGAAAAGGTAGGTGTAATGTAAATAAAATATACCTATATTTCACATTTTCTTTTTTTCGTTTCTAAATTCTTCTCTAAATCTTTCAACCAAACACAACGTAAAGGAAAACAACAATCCATTCCAGTGGGCCTATATTATTTGCCACAGGAAACAGTAGGTTTTTTCAAGTGAGAGATGGATGTCACTATCAATGTCAGTCAGTGACTTCCTTTTCTCAATGCTGCAGTTATGGTCTACATTTAAAAGGGTGAAATTTTGAAAAGACCAATTTATAAACCATGGAAGGCTTGCTTTTGGAGAGCACTCTATCGCATTTTGCTGTTGGATTGGTTCTTATCTCATGTTTTTCTGTCCCCTTTATCATTTCTGGTTAAGTGTCTGCACTTCCCGCAAGGGATCTTTAGATTGTGTGGAAGAAAATTTAAGATATTGCTATTGAATTGCTGAAGTACAGTAGTCAATTAATATTATTCCCAAACAAATGAACAATATAGCATATTTATGGTACCTTATTGTTTCATACAGTACTTTTGCATCTCAAAATGGTTCATTATCAGCTCAATTTTATTTTTTTAAATTTTTTTGTGCCTATATTCATTTATTGGGCAGCAGTAATCTCTTAAAAAACTGAAGCCACATCACTTTTATTTGCTGTTACATTGCTTGAATGTTTCCATTGCTTTCCGAGTTCACTCCTATAGTGCTGGTGTTCTACTCCAAGTGCCATGAAGGTGTCACTTCCTCTTATTCTCAGACTTTCATGTTGCTATACAAAACACATGACTATACATCCCGCAGAAGTTTTGATGCTTGTGTCTTAGATTCTGGAGAATTTGCATTGATATGTTTGCTTCTCTTGCCAAAAGAGAAGGGTCGTATGAAGTATAGATAAGAAAAGGTAGGAATTTAAGGTTTATTACTTGGTTTTCAAATTCTTTGCTACAATATATATGTTAATGTATAATGTAATGTATAATGTATATAGTATAATATATTATAGGACAAAACATAGAAAGCATAGGATTCTTTTCTTCTTTCAGTTGTAAAGACCAAACACCACTCACACACTTTCATTATTATGCATAGCTTTTGTCTTCTCCTTTCGGTGCTTTCTCTATAAATGAGCATCACTCTTGTAACCAACAGATATAGAAATTACAACATTCATTCAGATATCTTACATATCTCTCATGGTATCAGAGCACGGGTGTTTTGCCTAGTCTCTTCTTCCACTGCACTGCACTACATTTTTTTTTTCCTTATTTGCAGATTGCTGTATCTCTCGTCTGCATCACATTTTGACAGATTGTTGCATATCTCGACCTTATCTGCCTTCCATATTGGACCACACCAGTACCTTCGTCTCCTCACGACGAATCCAACGCCACCAAATTCATCACCAGCCGACGTTCCACGCGCCTCCACGCGCCGCCAGAACTTAAGGCCACGCGCTTCCTTGTTCTCAGACGCGCTCTACGCGCCTCTTATCCTGTCCCGTGCTACTGTGCGCCGCGACCTCCTCTGCTAACGTGAGCCGCGTGTTTCTGACGTCAGCCGACGTCAGCCCTAGCTGCTTTTGTGCGCCGCCTGCTCTCCTCTGCTATTGTACGCCGCGCACTTCTCTGCTAACGTGCGCCGCGCCTGTGACATCATCACTGTCTTCCGTGACATCATCCTGTTTGACCGGATTTGTTGACCAGACCACTCCACTCCCTTTGACAAGCCAATTTAGTGCCTTTCTGGTCCTATTTTTTGGTCAGTTCACTCCTTTCCCACTGATTTCGACCCTCTGAATTCACTGGTACCCTCGGATTTTTTCAATTCTACCTCGAAAGTACGATTTTTCCCTCATGGATCGCCTCGACTCCTCTAACCACCCTATTTCCGTTGTTCTTGACGGGACTAACTATGTCTTATGGGCACAAGCTATGTCTGGGTTCCTCAAAGGAAAGAAACTTTAGCGCATCATCACTGGGGATGTGTGCAAACCCATCCAAGCAACCACGGAATCCGCTGCCACCACGGACTTCGCTACCAAATATGTCGACCGTCTGGAGGATTGGGATAGTAAAAACTATCAAATCATTACTTGGTTTCACAATACTTCTATTACATCTATCAGCCTTCAGTTTGGTCGGTTCCAACTTGACTCTGCTTCCTCTCCAGCCAAGGCCATCTGGGATTTTTTACAGGAACGCTATCAGACTACTGGCCTTGCTCACCAATATCAGCTTCTGAGTCATCTTCACCATATGCGCCAAGAAACAACTCAGACCATTAATGATTTCCTCTCCTAAATGTATTATGTTTGGGATCAGCTCGCTCTTTCTGAACCTCCATGGGATTGTACTAAGGATGCTGCCTTGTTTACTACTTATCGTGACCAACATCGCTTGGTTCAGTTTCTCATGGCTCTTACTTCCCGTTTTGAGCCAGTACGCGCATCTCTCCTTCATCGCACTCCTTTACCCACTCTTGAGCAAGCAATTTCTGAACTCCTGTCAGAGGAAACCCGGTTTGGTACTCTCCATCCGCACCTTGTGGACTCTGTTCTTGCTACTCCCCAGACTCGGAGTTCTCATTCCTCACCTTCACCACAGAAGTCAACTTTCTGCAACTACTGTCAAAATCGCAATCTTCTGTCGACTCATCTTCTGGTTAATTGTCCTGTTCGCCTCTGTCGATTTTGCAACAAGACTGGTCCTGGTCATCTCCAGCAAGATTGCTTCCGCAATCCCGCCCATGCTTCTCGCAATGGTCCTTCCCCTGGGCATTTTTCCCACAGCACCTCACATCGTTCTGGGACTCCGTTTAAACCAATCCCTGCTCAACGCACTGCTGCTGCTGCCTCAGAGGATTTACCTTCCCCTGTCCCTATAGATCCTTTCACTCCAGTCTTCTCTCAAACAGATGTCGAAGCCATGTTTCAACATTTTTGGTAGAAATCCGGTACCCCTCCCTCTACTGCTTTGTCTGTCACCGCAGGTAACACTTCATGGTACTTTGACTCCGCTTGTTGTAATCACATGACCTTTGACTCTACTATTTTTACTCCTCTCTCTTTTACTCCTCATGTTCCTTCTATCCATATTGCTGATGGATCTCTTCTGTCTGTAAGTCATGTTGGTTCTGTTTCCACCTCTCACTTATCTTTATCCCATGTATATCTTATGCCTGCTCTCACTTTAAATCTTATCTCCATCAGTCAATTATGTGAGCTTGGTCTAACTGTTACCTTTTCCCATACTGGTTGTTTGGTGCAGGACCCTCGGACGGGGCAAACTCTTGGGATAGGCCATAAGCATGGACGCCTCTACGAACTTATCCATCTTCATGTTCCGGATTCCTCTCAGATCACAGCTTCTACCACTGCTACCACTGCTCCTCGTTTATCTCCTTTTCAGCTTTGGCACTGTCGTTTAGGCCATCTTTCTGCTGGTCGTTTAAAAACTTTAATTTCTAGTGGTCATTTAGGTCCTGTAAGTTCTGATGCTTTAGATTGTGTGTCCTGTCAACTTGCTAAACAACCTGCTTTGTCGTTTAATAAAAGTGACTTTGTTTCTCTTGCACCATTTGATCTCATCCATTCTGATATTTGGGGACCCTCTCCTACTCCCACTATGGGCGGAGCCCGCTATTTTATTGTTTTTATAGATGATTTTTCCCGTTTTACATGGTTGTTCCTTATGAAAACTCGCTCTGAGCTCAAACAACTTTATTATAATTTTGCTGCAATGGTTAACACATAATTTTCTAAAACTATTAAGCTTTTTCGCTCCGACAATGCCATGAAATATAAAGATTTTGACTTTCTTTCCTTCCTTCAGAGTCATGGTACTCAACCTCATCGTTCCTGTCCCGGTACGTCTCAACAAAATGGACATGCTGAACGGAAACATCGGCATATTCTCGACACTACTCGTGCTCTTCTTCTATCTTCCTCTTGTCCTGAACATTTTTGGGGAGAGGCAGCTCTCACTGCTGCTTACACTATCAATTGTATCCCTACACCTGTCATTCATAATCACACTCCTTATGAGCGTCTGCATGGCACCCGTCCCCCTTACACCAACCTTAGGGTCTTTGGCTCTGCCTGTTTTGTTCTTCTCCAACCTCATGAACGTACCAAACTTGAACCTCGTTCCCGCCTTTGTTGCTTCTTGGGCTATGGTATTGAACATAAAGGGTATCGTTGTTGGGATCCTCTCTCCCAACGACTTCGTATCTCTCGTCATGTGGTCTTTTGGGAACACAAAATGTTTTCCTCTCTCTCTCTCTCTCTCTCTCTTTCGTTTGTCCGTTCCCTCACCCTCTTTGTTTTTTACTGATCCCTCCACCGATCTGTTTTCTGATGATCTTACTCCACCACCCCTGCCAGCCTCTCTCGAGTTTTCTGATCTGCTTACTCCACCGCCCTTGCCAGCTTCTCTCGAGATCGCCTTGCCTCCTGGTCTGTCCCATGCCCCTGCTCCCTCTGATGGTCCTGCTCTTGCTCCCTCGGGCTCCTCCCCTCTTGCTGAGTCTCTTCCTCTGGCTCCTCCTCCCTCTGCTCGACCACGCTAGGTTACCCAACCTTCTACTCATCTTCGTGACTTTATTGTTGGTTCTACTGCTTTTTCTACTTACGAACCGACCTTCTATCGTGAGGCTCGCTCTAATCCTCTTTGGCAGCAAGCTATGACTACTGAATTGCAGGCTTTAGCCAAAACTCATACTTGGGACATTGTTGATCTTCCTCCTGGCAAGTCTGCCATTGGCTGCAAACGGGTATACAAAATCAAGACTTGTTCTGATGGATCTATTGAGCGCTACAAAGCCCGCCTTGTTGCCAAAGGCTTTAACCAAGAATATGGTATTGACTATGAAGAGACCTTTGCTCCTGTTGCTCGTTTCACCTCTGTTCGCAGCTTGATTGCTGTTGTTACCTCCCGACAATGGGATCTTTATCAACTGGACGTGACCAATGCTTTTCTTAATGGTGTTCTTCTCGAGGAGGTCTACATGAAACCTCCCCCTGGGTCTACTTATCCACCTCATAAAGTCTGCAAACTTCAGCGTGCCTTATACGGTCTCAAACAAGCTCCACGCGCTTGGTTTGCCAAGTTCAGCTCTACTATTCATGAATGTGGTTTCACCTCCAGCTCTTATGATACTGCTCTTTTTATCCGGAAAACCGCTCAAGGGACCACCTTGCTTTTGCTTTATGTAGATGACATGATTATCACCGGTGATGATATCGATGGTATTCTTCACCTTAAACAGTTTCTTAGCCATCATTTCGAGATGAAAGACCTTGGTCCTCTCAGCTATTTCTTAGGTCTTGAAATCTTTCATGATTCTACGGGTTCTTTTCTCTCTCAGGCTAAGTATACCTCTGATCTTCTCACCCGTGCTGGTCTTACGGATTGCAAGACTGCCTCCACTCCCCTCGAGCCTCAGAGTCGTCTTACACCTCTTGATGGCACTCTTCTCTCTGATGCTACCCTATATCGTCAGCTGGTTGGCAGTCTTGTCTATCTCACTGTTACTCGTCCTGATATTGCCTATGCCGTTCATATTGTCAGCCAGTTTATGTCGGCTCCTCGTACCCCTCATTATACTGCCTTAATTCGTATCCTTCGGTATCTCAAAGGCACCATGTTTCATGGTCTTCATTATTCCGCCCGCTCCTCTCTCCAGCTTCGTGCTTTTTCCGATGCTGATTGGGCTGGAGATCCAACTGACCGCCGCTCTACTACTGGGTTCTGCTTTTTTCTGGGTGATTCTCTTATTTCTTGGCGCAGCAAGAAACAATCTCTTACTGCTCGTTCCAGTACCGAGGCCGAATACCGTGCTCTTGCTGATACTACTCAGGAGCTTCTCTAGCTTCGTTGGCTTCTTGCTGATCTGGATGTTACCTCCTCTGGTGTTACTGACCTCTTTTGTGACAATCACAGTGCTCTTCAAATTGCTCACAATGATGTTTTTCATGATCGCACCAAGCACATTGAGATTGACTGTCATTTTATTCGTCAACACGTTACTCGTGGTACTGTCCATCTCCATCCGATCTCTTCTGTTGATCAACCTGCTGATATCTTCACCAAAGCTCATTCTCCTGGCCGCTTCGTTGAACTTGTCTCCAAACTCCAGTTGGTCAATGTTTTTCCACCTTGAGTTTGAGGGGGGCTGTTAATGTATAATGTAATGTATAATGTATATAGTATAATATATTATAGGACAAAACATAGAAAGCATAGGATTCTTTTCTTCTTTCGGTTGTAAAGACCAAACACCACTCACACACTTTCATTATTATGCATAGCTTTTGTCTTCTCCTTTCGGTGCTTTCTCTATAAATGAGCATCACTCTTGTAACCAACAGATATAGAAATTACAACATTCATTCAGATATCTTACATATCTCTCAATATAAAAGTGTAAATAGTCATTTGTTTGTTAATTTCAATGCCTGTATCTTAATTACATGAATAGAAAGTGAAGCCGTTACATGTTCTGTTATCAGAATTTTACGATTCGCTATTCGATTCATTTTTTTTGTAAAATCGATACAAATCTATGGGTGAATCTATTTTGGAAGTGAATTTTTAGTGAATCGCACGATTCACAATCGATTTATTTTTTACGATTCATGCAATTTTTAAAATTATTGTGTCTGACATATTTTTGATTTTTTTTTCTCCATCTTTCTAGTGAAAATGACATAATACAACTTCTAATAGTGTTTAAACCAAAATAACGAACATATATATATACATGATTTGTTGTTATTTTAGTGATCATGAAGTTTTTAATATGAGATCTAATCAGATTTAGTCTGACCAACATATTTTTATCCTTTCTTCTCATTTTTTTTTCTCTTTAAAAATCATAATATATTTTCTAAAGATGTTTAAGATTAAAGTTACATAATGAATTATCTATTGCTATTTTATTAAATTGAATATAATTGAATATTACATGTGTGAGGTCAGTTATACCTTTTAAAATGTTTTAGGCTTTAAGATAAAATATTCTAAATAATTATTTCTTATTATTTGCTCACTATTACTTAGAAAAGTATGTATGCTTATTGTCCAAATATCAATATCGTTGTTAATTATTGTTACTTTAGAAATTGATAGTTTGTTCATTTGGCTATTATCTTTATTAAGAATGGTTGATAAGAAATATCTAAAAAAGAAAAAAAGATAAGATGATAATCTTACATGGGAACTTTTGTTAAGTTCTACCTATCAAATTTACGTGATTATCATTCAAAATAGCATTTTCATTGATTTAAGTCTAAATATTTTATATTTATAAGATATATTTAACATCTTAATGTGTAGACATATGTTTTTAAGTAATTTAGAAAAAGTGATTGAATCTTTACGATTCACGATTCGATTTGATTCGCGATTCAGTACAAAATCATTTCAATTCACGATACGAATCCTGATTTGACAACTATGATTATATGTAAATCTCCTTTTTTTTTTTTTTTTATTAGTAAAAGAAAGCTTTACTGATGGAAAAACATACAAAGTATGAAAAAATACATCAAAAAAGAGGAGAGTGCAAAGAGCATCAGTGTGTAACACCAAAATCCCAACTAGGTTGGCACTAAGATGCACACCTGATCATCTACTAGCACAGAACTCCAAACTCGAAGTTGGTGAAAAACCAACAAACAGAGCAAAACAAACAAGTAAACAGATCAGACACAACCCCAACAAGCACCTATACTCACTGCTGCTCCTGCTGCACAAGCATAAGCAGCCCAACTACAAACCCAGATCAGACACAACTTCAACAGCAGCACCTTCACCCCAAGCATTGTTGAACCTGATTTGAGTTAAGCACTATAGCTAGAACTGAGTACTGCACCCCTGAGCACAACATCAAAAACTTCATCAAGGCAGACATCAGCAACACCAGTGCCATGTTTCATTTCTCCTTGATAACAAAAACTTGATCCTAGCCATGTTTCATTTCTACCTGTGCCACGTCTTTGTGCTCATATCCAATTTTTTTGTCAAGTCCCCATATCCTATAACTAAGGAAACTAGTGAATCTGACATCTAGACACGCACCGGTTACTGGCACCCATACCCGAGTCCATGTAATTTACTTGGCCTTTCTGCATAACTATAAGAAATGGTAAAGAAGTTTGTTTTGTTCACATTGATTAAGAGCTCAATGTTTTTTTACATTTATTTATTTATTTTTCTTTGGGCTTTGCACAAACCTCTACTTCATTGCAGGCATTCTTTTGCTGGTTCACTGGGTCCCATCCTGCTTATTATATAATGGATGTTTTAGTTATATTTGACAACTAGAATGCTATTCTGTATACTTGCTAAACATGTTGCATCTTTTTGTTGGATCTATGATGAAACTTTGTTTCAGTCTTACTAGTAGTGCATGTACAATTGAAAATTGAAGTTTATGACAGTGTTTTTCTTCTACGTTTAGATGGAAGATCAGACTCATCAACATGGGCAGATTATTGAGATAAGTGGTGAAGTTCCTGTTGGAGAGACGAGCCTCGAAGGGAGCAAGATATGTGGTGAAGCGGCTTGTGGATTTTCAGATGCTGTAACCATCTCCAAGGATGCCAAAGAGCGATCAGCTTCAATGCGGAAGCTTTTTACAGCAGTTGCACTTTGTGTTGTCTTCATGAGCATCGAAATAGTTGGTGGCATCAAAGCCAATAGTCTGGCAATTTTAACTGACGCAGCACATCTACTCTCGGATGTTGCAGCTTTTGCTATTTCGCTGTTTTCTTTGTGGGCAGCAGGTTGGGAAGCCACTCCCTGTCAGTCTTATGGATTCTTTAGGGTAGAGATTCTTGGCACTCTGGTTTCCATCCAGCTCATATGGCTTCTTGCGGGGATTTTAGTTTATGAAGCCATTATGAGACTTATTCATGAGACAGGTACTGTCAATGGCTTCCTCATGTTTGTTGTTGCTGCTTTTGGTCTGGTGGTAAATATTATCATGGCTGTCATGTTGGGTCATGACCATAGTCATGGTGGCCATGATCATGGTCACAGCCACAGCCATAATGATCATGTTCATGATCGCAGCCATGGATTGAAGATTACGCATCACCATAGTCATGAGGAGCATGAAGAGCACAGCCATACTGATGAAGAAGCTATTGTGGAACCACTTCTCAAGAAATCTTCCCAAGACAAAAGCAAACCAAAAAGTGAACATGAACAAAAGAAGCGACAGAACATTAATGTTCAGGGAGCTTATATCCACGTACTCGGGGATTCCATCCAGAGCGTTGGAGTGATGATTGGAGGGGCAGTCATATGGTATAAACCGGAGTGGAAGATAATTGATCTGATTTGCACCCTTATATTTTCTGTGATTGTTTTGGGGACGACTATCAAAATGCTACGCAACATACTTGAAGTCTTGATGGAAAGCACACCTAGAGAGGTTGATGCGACAAAGCTTGGGAAGGGGCTATGTGAGATAGATGAAGTTATGGCCATCCATGAGCTGCATATCTGGGCCATCACAGTAGGCAAGGTTCTGTTAGCTTGCCATGTCAAAATAAGGCCTGAAGCTGATGCAGACTTGGTGCTAGAGAAAGTGATTGACTATATCAGGAGGGAGCATAATATCAGTCATGTGACCATACAGATAGAGCATTAGTACTCTTAGTAGTGAAACAGATGAGTTGTATGAGCATCTGGGGCAGCTTGTTTGTGTGACTTTATTTTGTCCTTTTTTTTTTATTTATTTAAATTCTCTTTACCCATAGAAGAGAATTTTTATTTTATTTTATTTGTTTTTATTGGGGCTGGCTTGTCATGTACAATTTTTAGCATTGGATGGATATTTTAGATTTTGAGCATCAAAGTTGATTTGAGCAGCAGCTCATAGCCTGATTTTGCAATCAATCTACACTTGGTTGCTGTTGTTTTTTTGTTTTGTTTTTGGGGTGCTTGGGAGGCTGTGCGGCCTAGCTTTGGAAGGCTACATCAAACAAGATAATCCCTCAAAAGAGGCAACCCGTGAGAGAGAGAAAGAGGGGGGGCCTCCTGAGGATGACTTCACAAGTTTTTTTTTTTTTTTTGATCAGCAAAACAAGAGCTTTATTGATGAATAAAAAGCACAAAACATGCAAAAATCATCAACAAAGTAGGGAAACGCAAAGAGCATCATAGCTACTCTCAACGATCCCAACTAGGTTGGCACCGTAAAGGAAGTACAATCACATGCTAGCATTTAACCCAAGATTGGTGAGAAACCAATCCAAAACAAAAGCACCCAAAGAAAAAATACAGAATAGCTACAAAAGAAATAACAACAAAATATCAGCAGCATCTGTTGCTGGGCTCCAAAGAAAGACACCAGTGGTTGGACACCAAAGAATCACACAGGGTACAAACTCCCCTACACCAAACAGCAGCATGAAGAAAGCTCTGTTGCTGGACACCTCTGAAGAGACCTCTGATGCTGGACACCAAAGAAACCTCTGTTGCATTGAGATTCCATCAGCAAAGTCAACAATTTATCTCCCCATAGAACCTGTACAGAACAGCCCATAGAAATCCACTTCTATGTCGCTTAGGGTCATGGTCCACAACAATACCATTAATTAGCACCTTAACAAAATAAGAACTGTTGCAAAAAGCCCCCAGACCAAACAACAAAAAGCAGCAGCAACAGAGCATAGCACACCACACCAGCACCAGCATCCAAAACCATCAGACAACACTACAGCAGACAGCTCCATTTTTAAGGCAAAATAAGACCTGGTCTAAAGTATGCTGCACAAAATCAGTGGTTGATATCATAGCTCCAGCCACAAATGAGTCCAGCTTAAGACTAAGGCCAAGCTTGTCATAGCAGTAGAGCAGCTTAACAGACCAACAGACCTCCTCATAGTCCCAACAGACCTCCACCAATGCAAACTTAGAAGTTGAATAACATCTCAGCAACCTGATACAAACCATATAGCCAGCAATCAGTTGCAGCTAGCTGCTTCATGCTTCTCCTTGAAGAATCAAAGATTCTGCTTTGATCAACACACAGACCAACACAGACATTCAAGCAGCCATTATTCAGCCACTCAGCCACCCAACCCAGACAGATCATTCATCTAGCACCTAAGCATAGCCATTCAAGCATAGCATAGCCAACACACACAGCCAGAGCCTAGCCATTCAAGCATAGCATAGCCATTCATTCATCTAGCACCTAAGCATAGCATTCCAGCAGACCAGATGAAGCCATTGAAACTAGGACAGAGCAGCACAAACATGCAGCCATTCAGACATTCAGCCACCTAATAGACATTCAGCCATTCATCAAGCAGCAGATCAGAAACGCTTCGTTTAACAGGTCAGTTGAGCTCTCCAAGATGCCAAAAGTACTTAGAATCTTCACCAAACAGCTTTCATTGGCGACAAGATTAACAGACCAATTATAAGCTCCAAAATCAAAATTATCTTCATTGACTAGGCATGCACTTCTGGCTTGCTTGATATCCCTCCATACAACAGCAGATCAAACTCCCCTGTGTCACACCTTTCAGAATATCTCTCCAACTAAACTAACAACAATCAAAACAGCCACCACACTAGCAACAGTCTAGGGAACCTGCAAACACCTCCACTCTACCACCTTTAGAATCAAGAGGACCCAATACACCTCCTAATTTGCTTAAAATTAAAAACAACATCATGGACAGAGAATGATGCACCACTCAAATGAGCTCTCATCTAGATTGCCACTCTCACCTTGATATAGTCACATAGATCTTGAAGATTGGGCTGAACTGAATTGAAAACACAATCATTCCTATAGCTCCACACAGACCACATTATAGCTGATGGTAAGACCCTCCAAATCTGGTTTACTTTCTTCTTAAACTTCCAACCCAACCACCATAGAAGCAAATCTTCAATAGAACTAAGAATAGCCCACTGAAGACCCCACCAAAAAACAATAGCAGACCAGGTTCTCCAGACAAAAGGGCAATGAAGCATAATATGATTAGTTGATTCACCTGCCCCATGACAAAAAATGCACCTCAGAGCATCATCACTTACCAAAATTCCTAACCTGTGAAGCAGCTCTTTTGTTTTCAATCTACCTCTCCAAGCTAACCAAGAAAAGAATTTAGCTTTTGGTGGGGAGAAATTATTCCATAACAGATCAACTGACCTCTGAATGGGACCCTCATTAACTAAACCCCAAGCATAAACATGATTAACCTTGAACACACTTGACTGCATAGGCTTCCAACACAAACAATCAACGGCATCACTTCTTAAAACAGGGCCAGCCCCCAAAAAATTCATAAGTCTAACCAATTCATCATCTTTCCAAGCCCGAAGTGTTCTTCTGAAATTGAAAACCCGCCCAGATTGATGAGATCTTCTAGCTACTTGCACACTCAATGAAGACTCTTTATCTTCAACCAGCTGAAACAATCTAGGGAATTGGCTTAAAAGGTTTGTTGTTCCCAGCCAAGGATCCCTCCAGAAACTAATTCTTACTCCATTGCCAACTACAATCTGGGCATTATCCTTATAGAATTGAAAGAGCCGACCATTTCTTTGAGCAACTAGTAATAGATCTTTCCACATCTTAGATGTAGAACCAAATTCAGCCAGAAAAGGATACCACCTGCCCCCTATAGAGCCATACTTCTCACAAATTACCAACTTCCACAAAGCATCATCCTCTTGGCCATATCTCCACCACCACTTTACTAGCAAACTGTCATTGGCTAACCTGATATTTTTAATCCCTAGACCACCTTGCTTCACACTCCTAGATACCTCTTTCCAACTAACAAGATGGATCTTCCTATGATATTCTGAATCGCTCCATAAAAATGATGCTTGAATTCTATCAATCTCTTTTGCTACACATTTCGGCATTTTAAAAATGGACATGTAATACATAGGTAAAGAACACAACACAGATTTTATGAGAGTAACCCTCCCAACAAAGGACAAAACCCTTCTCTTCCACCCATATAACTTCTTCTTGAATTTCTTCAGAACAGGTTTCCAAGTCGACCTCCTACTAGGGCTGGCCCCCAATGGTAAACCCAAATACTTCAAAGGTAGCTTTTGACTTAGACAATTCAACTTATCAGCAAACTCATCAACCACCACATCAGCCACTTCCACTCCACACACAACACTCATAGAAAAATTAATCCTTAAACCTGAGATTACCTCAAAACACCTAAGGATTCTTTTAATAGCCACAATTTCAGACCATTTAGCCTCACAAAAAATCACTGTATCATCAGCAAATTGCAAATGGGAAACATTCAAACCATTCGCACCTACTGATACACCTTTAAAAAGACCCAATTCCTTAGCTCTTGATATGAGTATGTTCAGACCCTCAGCTACAACATTAAACAAAAATGGTGATAACGGATCACCTTGCCTTAAATCTTTTTGGGGACAAAACTGAAGTGATGGTGAGCCATTAACCAGAACTGAGAGTCTAGCAGAAGAAATGCAGCCCTTCAACCACATAATCCAAATAGCTCCAAAACCAAAACTCTCCAACATTTGATTGAGGTAATTCCAGTTTACCGTGTCATATGCTTTTTCAAAATCCAGCTTAAGAATTAGTCTCTTTCTGTTTGATTTCTTCCACCAATCCACAACCTCATTTGCTATAAGAACTCCATCCATAATGTTCCTCCCACCTAAGAAAGCTGATTGGACTCTGTCAATAACTTTTGGAAAAACTAATCTAAGCCTGTTAGTAAGCACTTTAGACAACACTTTATAATGGAACTAATGAGACTGATAGGTCTAAAGTCTTTGATTGATTTAGGACAATCAGATTTAGGAACAAGAGTCATAAAAGAACAGTTAATGCCATTTCCCAACACCCCATTAGCATGAAACCCTTTCATAAAATCCATGATATCACCCTTCATGATCTTCCAACACTTTTGAATGCAAAACAAGTTAAATCCATCTGGACCTAGAGCTTTGTTTCCATCACATTCCTTAACTGCTGCCCAAACCTCTGCTTTTGAGAAATCTAACTCCAAACACTGAAGTTGGCCTTGATCAATGCAACTAAAATCACCCCCTAGTCTTGGCCTCACTTTCCAACCTTCAGTGAACAAATCTTTAAAATAAACCCACACAACCTGTTTTAACTCCAAGGGCTCCTCATATAAAATATCATTAATCTTCATTGAATCAATGAGGTTCCTACTTTGTCTTCTGCAGGCCATGTGAAAGTATCTGGTGTTTTTATCCCCTTTTAATGCCCAATTTAATCTAGATTTTTGCAACCAGATCCTCTCCAATTTTTTCCTACTCTGCCAAACTTCATCTCTGACTTCAATTCTCTTTCTAGCTTCAGCTTCTGTAAGATCTCTCTCTTTAGCAACTAAATCCCAGGAGTGTAACTCAACTTCAACTACTTTAAGTTTAGATACCACATGACCAAAGACCTCCACATTCCAAATCTTCAATGTCTGCTTGAGTGACCTCAGTTTGGCCATAATTCTGAAGCCAGCCCAACCCTTTACTGGTGCACTAACCCAAACCTTTTTAACTTCTTTAAGAAAGCTGGGATGTAACACCCATGCATTTAAAAATTTGAAAGGCTTGGGAACCTAATCTTGCTTATCTTCCTTCAAAAAGATTGCGCAATGATCAGACAAAAATTAGGAAGGCCCCATAACTTCAAACTAAACCATTCAAGCCACTCTGGATTTAATAGAAATCTATCAATT